TTCAGACAGAGGTTTGTTTGCAATATTGCGGGAATCTTACAACATTCTGTATGGAAAGGCCAGAACCAACTGTTACTGCAATATGGGGTAAGACAGTGTTCCATCTCAGACCTAGTAATACTGTATTACTGCAATATTGCTGAAATCATAAAAAGTTTATTATCTACAAAATAAGAAATTGCTTTGTTCATCGAACCTTAAAAAATTTTTTAAAGAATTATTGGTTGCACATTTTAACCAGACTGTAAAGTATTAAGGCCTTTGCAGGGAATATATCCTCCGTGCAAAATTTAGGCATATAAATCTGCTGTGCATTTTGGAAAATAATGCTTGATTTCTGCACAGATTTTGCCGAAAATTATTCTTTGATCTAGTAATCTATGACAAATTTATATATGCAATAGTTACAATTTTGCGCACCTACAGTATTTTCCTAGTGATTTACCACCCAAATTTGAGCTAGTTTTTGAGGTATCATATGTGCAATTAAATTACTTTACAGCATGGCAGAATAAGTTTGGTCATCACTTTCATTTGCACTGATTTTCCTATCCCTAATTGATCCTCCGATTTTTTGTGTCTCGTGCAAAAAGCTCAACACTGTGGAGGTTTTATATCGCAATGAATATTTCGTTGCTAGTCCAGTCTATGAATGCACAAAACAAACTTAACAAATCTCACTCTACAGATGCTGGTAAACGAATGAAGCCTAGACCTTCCTAGGCAAGGCCGAGAAAGACAATGGTTATGAGATGACAAGGTGATTGGCTTTTAAAGGAACTGAAAAATAAGGCAGTAGAGAGGTTTTGCATACGAATGCATACAGCATGTACAGCGTGATGTATACGTCATAATTTATGACATCATACGCCGGTTTGCTATCTGCATATCTCGCTCACTACATGTAATTTTGGATATCTAGTACGATTTTCGTTTTGTTTTTTTTTTCACATTTTACAGTAAGTTTAAAAAATAAATGTATCTTTAAATACATACATGCCATTTTTGTGACTTTTGAAGGTCTACAGTAAGTTACGATTTTGGGGTATTAAAAAATGTTGGTGCTTGGTGGTGTCAGGATTTTCCTGTAGGCCTAGGCCTAGCTTTTATACTGTAGTAGCCAGGCATTTTTGGGTGACAAAATAATCAACTCTTCTGGGCCACAAGGGAAGGATTATTCGGCTACCACTTCCAATTTCCAAAACCTTACATATCGAAACTTTAGGCCATGCTAAAATCTGATATTGAGAAGCATGATGAGAGAAGAAAACGAAATAGCCTAGGCTACATAGGCCGCCCTTCTCTAAATTTCGCTGTCACTGCAAAAAGCACAGCATGGCTACACACCGTTACAGATAGCTAAACGTATGTGTACACATATTCGTTCACATGCGAAACCTCTCTAATGTTGAAATAATTTGTAATAATGTTTACAGTACATTTTAATCTATTAAATAAATGCTCTAACTAGGAGGTTAGGCATAGGCCTACCTAATAAACTTTATCAACTACAATCAATTTATCCATCTTCTTCGTACTTGCAAAGAGCTGCTTGAAGAGTGTCAGTGCACGTACTAGTACTAACAAATCATTCTCAATACCTGCATCAAATGAACACGCACAGTTAATGTGCTTGTATTTTTCACTGAGCAATCGGTCACCACAAGCAGAACTGATATGATTATTTTATATGTATAGCAACCCTCTACAACCAACAAGTTTGATTAAAGGACCATAAAAAAGTATGGACTTCACAACTGACTTATAAATCAATTATACACTTAGTCATGTAATTTTGTACACTAGGAAATGGAAGCCTTAGGAGCCATTATTGCGAAGAACTGTGTGAAGAGTGTCGGTGCGCGTACTACTAACAAATCATTCTCATACGTGCAGCTAATGCAACCATTTGATTTATGATTACAAGCAACAGCTCTACAACCAGCAGTTATAGAAAAGGTGATTGACATCACAACTGACTTATAAAGCAACTATAGTAATTTCTTACACTTTAGGATATAGAAGACTTAGGAGCCATTATTTCCTGAAAAAATTGCCTGAAGCCCACAGTGCTAAGGCAATTTTTTCAGGAAATAATGGTTTTCGTTTCCGTTGCTGAGCCCAGACATCCACCAAATAAGAGAGCGTAATGGGAGGAGGGCCCGTAATTTGCCCAGCACCATTCAGAAAGTGTCCAGGGGTTGAAGCCCTCAGAAGCTCCAGTTCTATCAATATAATAAAGTAAATTATAATGTATAAAAACTTCAAAAGGCCAATGGTTGAACCTTGAAATGTACTCCACAATATGTTTACAGTACATATTCAGACTGCCTACAGTACAGTACTATTAACTGTCACAATTTGTTTCCTATTTAATTGATAATCTCTAAACTATAGAAGGCCTCTCAAAACACTTCGTATGATTAGTCTGAATGGAAATGTAAATCAAATCAATCTATGAATCATTAAAATGTATACGTTTTTATAAAAACTATCTTTTATGCTATCTTCATTACATTTTAGACAATTTAATAAACACCACTTTCAACTCTGCTCAATGCATTAGCATAGCTCTTTGTGGTTTGTTGACAAAACCATACCCACTTGGTTGAAATGTGATGATGTCATCTTTGGTAACTAATTCGGTCTATAGTACAGTATGTAATTTCTGTATTAAAAAAGATTATGATCTACGGTATCAATAGGCTTATTGAGATCAAGAAATAATACACATAATTAAAATCAATTTTCAATGCTTTTGTAGTAGACACTACCAGTGAGAATGAAATTACTTAAACCAGATTGATTTCTACATAGGCTATAAAACTCATTTTATAATTCATAACATCTTTTAAATGCACTGGGGAGGGGTAAAGGCCTATGCTCTTTGTCCCTGCTGGTGACATTATTTTCTCTCTCTGTTATTATATCTGTGATCGTTTGAATTAGGCATCTAACTACATGAACCCCTGTACCCAAACCCCAACACAGATTCTGCCCCTAGACCACACAGGGTGCCTCCATCAGCACCTATGCCCCCACTTCTGAGGCCCTGTTCAAATACCTTCAATAAAAAGTTGATGTTACAACACCTTTGTAAAGTGACATTTATTTGGAATAATAACACATACGGAACCAGAAACAAAAAAGCAAGACGCTGCGAAATTGGTGATTTTATTGTTTTTGTCATCGTTGCTTGAAGTGTGATAAAATTGTCAACAGAAAAGAAGAAGGAAGATAATTGTTCGGAGGTTATGGATCATTATAAATCATTGAATCGACATACTGTAGTGTATTATTTTATATTTTTAGTGTACGATATCATGTAAGGTACAGTAGGGCAAAACATCACTTCTGTAACTATTGTTATCAATCAATATTATCTAATGTACAGTATTAATACAGGTAGTTGTAGTTGCTCTAGCAGAGTGACATTTGGAATTTAGAATCCTGTTGTCATTTTTTATAGGCCTTGGCTCATTCTGGTACTGATACTGGTATGGGCATTTATAATGTGCCTCTTCCTTGTGGTTATAAAGCGCAGTTCCTTTCCCTGGTCACTGGGTCCACGTGCTAAGTGTTGCTGCTGGTAATCAGTGCAGGAGCAGGCAACCCCACCAGGTACCCATTTATACTCCTGAGTGGAGAGAAGCAATGCAGATAAAGTGTCTTGCTCAGGACACAAGTGAAATGCACAGCGAGAGATTGAAACCCCGACCTCAAGGTTAGGAAAGCTGCGCCAAACCGCTTTATTCCCAGTCATTCCTCAACAATCCCCATAAAGAAGGAACTTCCACAAATACATAGGGGGTTTAGAAAGGAAATTTTATGAAATGGCATTTTCAGACCTAAATTTAATTATAATTTTCCTTTTATTTCTCCATTATTTAGGGGACAGGGGTCTGGTTAGCCCCTCCCCCTCCCCTTCTTGAATCCATCACTGGCTTAAAAAGTAGTCTATTCAAACATTACACAAATATTTTAGAATCCTTGGTAAAATATGTGTCTCCTCCCCAAACCCCTAGTCAGTCAAAAATGTAAACCCTAGTTCTTTTGCCTTGTCATAGGGTCTCATGTAAAGTATGTACTCACTGCAAAAGAGAAATGTTCCAAATGTTTTTTGCGAATCTGCATTAAGCTCAAACTTAACTTTACTGTATGAAAAACGCAAGAATATTATTTTAAACATTAAGGCCAAATAAAAAAAAATACTAGTTTCTCATCTCCACACATCCAGGAGTCGACTGTTCTATTATTTTTCGAGGGGTGTTCTCATGTATGCGAAAGAATAGGCAATTTGTCGGTTTATCCACTCATAGACTACCAACATCACCATTGATTTGTGTATTTTCTTTGCCTCACCAAATTTAAAAAAAAATTTATTTTATTTTACAAAAGGTACAAAAAACTCACAACAGTAAAATTCCTCTCTCGATCATTCATGGTTGGGGGATACACATGGTATGAATCATGTCCAGTGCTTCTTTTATTTGCTTTCAGTGTGTCTACTTGGTAAAACTGAGAAAGTAGTAACTGTTTCCCATCAACCATCTTGGATTTGCCATCTTGGAGTAAAAAAAAAAAAAAAAAAAAAATCCCTCATTCTACTTTTTTTCAAAATACAGGGTATTAGGACGAGAAACTACTTTTTTTAAAAACTTGATACTTTATAACATTCTATTGGCAATCTTTGGCATTTGTGAATTAAAAAAAGTTTTTTACCTCTCAGAAATCGTTACCTTTTGCCAAAGCTTGTGCAGCCTGCCTTAATCTCAACAGCATGTTGATACTGTTTCCAGTTTGTAGGAATCTAATTTCATTCTTCAGAAGTTCAGTGGAAACCAAAGCAGTAAGTATTGATTTTTTATTGACAGCATCTTGTATTTCCAATAAACGGTGTATGTGTGATGTTTTTAAGTACTGTAGACAGGAATTATACATGCAGAATGTGTCACCATACAAGCCACGCCCCCTAGGCTGAACACGTTGTATTTAGCAACTACCGTAGCAGTTTGATCTCAATTTTTGTTTTTTAATAATAACATAGAGGGCGCTCTATTTTGTGATTTTTACATGGAGGGTGCTACATTCAAATTTCTTTTTTATTTTTATCTCACGCATTGCAAAGTTGGCAGGTATATACATTATAGGAACAAGATGAATTTCTTCAACCCATGATCTTTTCATTTATTTTGTCTTTCTCTACAGTGTTGTAAACGAAGTGTTCGTCGATTGCTGGACAAAAACCTAGTTTTTCATAAGACATTGGCTTACGTCATTATCCTCTTTACTCTCGGCCACATCAACGCACATTACTTTAACTTTGAAAACTTATTCAATTCCCGCGTACACCCAGAGACAGATATTCAGAAGTTTTTTGCCTTATGAACAACCAGATACATGGGTTAATCCTGTACAGAACCCCTCTGAGGTAGGTGGATATCATAATGTTGCTAATGGAAACATGTGGCTAGTAGCATATATCTTAGGAGGAACATTGGGGGCCTATCCCTTCCTCACTTTAAAATTTGATGACCAAAAAAATTACATTCAGGTCGTTAAAATTCACTCATTTCCCTTGCAAGCACCCTCAATATTCCATTCACTCCACCTTACCTCATAAAAACCCACTTTAATCCTATGTACGCCAGTGCATGTGGCATGACTGCATTTGGCTTCCTATGGAATGGTTGTGGAATTTGTGTCCAAGGGTGCTCACACTGCTATATCCATGTGTAGTCACTGTGTCCACCTTTTTTCCTCCTCTTATGAGTATGGATACCATATGTGGTTAGATGTAAATGTTCTGTAGTAACAAGTGTGTTTGTCTCTGTGCTGAATTCACTGTTAAGAGAGAGACCAGGAATACTGTCCATGAAAATTTTGGGCTTGATTGGTCTGTAACCATTGACAATCAATAATAAATGACACATGGTTGGTCAGCAGCTTTTTATTTGTTATTAAATGTTTAAAAATAGGTCTAATTTTAGGATTACTGTACTGTCATCACTTACCCCATGTAATATGTGGCAAAGTCAAGCCAAACCAGTCACTCCTTGTTAAAATAGATTTTTAGGTATTAATACAGAGTTAAGAAGTAAAAGGAGAGCTATAAAATGGTAAAAGAATCATTTAAATCCGACATTTCTTTATGAAGTTACAGGAGTTTAAACAGACAGCGGATTAAAGAACAATATATGAGAATCAACCTTCAAAGTTAACAAAAGCATTTCTCAGGTAGAAACAATCACCAAATCGTTATAAAAATTTGTTTTAACATTGAAAATGAGGAAAATAACAGCATAGCATGATGTATGGATATATAAAAGTTAGTTTAGTGCAATAATATAGATCTCAAACATTTTGACATTCCAACATGTTTTGGCCATTATCTCTGAAACATGATTTGCGACAAATGACTAGTTTGGCTTGTCTTTGCCACATATACAGAGCTATGCTGTGGAAATTTATTGTTAGACTAAGGTGTGTGCTAAACCAGACTTAAACAAGGAAGGGATGGGGTAAGGAAAGTGGAATGAGTCTGCCGTGTTTTTTCAAGGAATAATATTTTTATATTTCCTCAAGAATGATAAACTACCATTTTGTTTGCTACAGTAAATCACAAATATAGTCACAATTTGTGTGTGGTGTTGAAAAGAATTGTAATGTGCAACTGTTTTTGTTGTCGCTTGCTACATTTTGCAGACTACGTATGGTCTAGGCGTCATTCAACAGGTCATGCAGCGTGTGGCTGGCTGGACTGGCATCTTCATCACAATGGCTCTGTTGCTTATGTATACTTCCTCAACTGAATTCATTAGGTTTGTATTATCATTTTGTCAACATTGTAAAGTCCTGTTTACATAGGCACTTTACCTGAATGTATACTCAGATACCATAGTACCTGTATTTTTTTCGAATAAACACCCTAGGGCGTTCATTGTTGAGAAGGGCTTTTGAGGGGGTGTTTATTCGAGGAGGCATTTAATTTGTTTTTGTTACATTGGATAAAGTTTATACTCAAATACAGAAAATGTAGTTCTGCTGGAGTAGAACATTAATAGAAGGTGTTGAGAATGGTGTGAATTCCATTAGATTTTTTTACGGTCATTTAGAGAGGCGTTTATTTTACATGAGACCCTAGATGGGGCGTTTATAAAAAGGGGGTGTTTGTTAATAGTGGGGCATTTATTCAAATAAGTATGGTAAGTGTAAATTGGGAAATGATTCTGCAGGAGCATCTTGATGTACAGTATTTTGAAACCCACGCCCTACCTTGTGTTTCTCTTCCCTATATGTGGGACTGCTACCCAATCTAATATATAGGGGGTTTAAACCCCCCAAAAAAGATCAAAAGGATTATCAACATCCAACAAAATCAAAACAATCCTGTTTTCACTGATTTACAAATAAATTCTTTAAAAATTCGGAAATTTGCCGACAAGGGTCCGACATGTCAGACGGTGGGCTAGATGGGGCGTTTATAAAAAAGGGGTGTTTGTTGATAGTGGGGCATTTCCTGAATAAAAAAAATCCCTGGTGGGGTTGACTGGGAAAGTTTTTATGGCTTATTGTGGTCCAAATTTTGCTATTAGAACAACAATATTAGGGATTGGCAATCAAATTAACTTTATTTGGATAGGCAAATTATAATTTTTAAAAGTTTTTGTTCCGATGACCTCGTTGTGCTGTTGGACGACAGGGGGTCCAGACACTCCCTGTCCGTGCTGGTGCCATCACTGTATGTCTTCAGGATTAGATGGACTCTGTAACTTAATCTACTACTACGAGGGTAAAATACGAGTAAGTTTAGTATGCGCAGGGAAGAACCCTGTGTGTTCATTGACCAAGGAAATGTTGTTATTAATACAGTACCTAATTAATAATAAAGTATGGTAATATAATTTACTTTCAACAGTACAATGTAATTATTTTTCTTGTGTTTGTTTTTAGGCGTTATTATTTTGAGACATTTTGGTTCACACATCACCTCTTTATCATCTACTATGGTTTCCTAATTGCCCATGGAGCTGAGTAAGTATATAGAGATCATTTCAAAGATATTAGAAAAGTAATTATTCATTTCTCATTATATTATCAAGGATTTTAGTTAATGCCCAGCTCTGCAGTTTTTATATTCAATAATTAATATAAAAAATAATATAATATATATCAGTATGTACACATCAAAATTAATTAGGGGAAAACTCTTACCACTGCAGTGGTGGATCCAATGTGGGGCTCAGCCGCCCCTCCCTAACCCTTTAACGGGATAAATAAAAAATTATATCTAAACTTAAGTCTGAGAGTGCCATAATCATAAATTTTGAAAGACTATAGTGTACAGGTTGTAGAGAATAAATTTATTTTGATTACCAAAAATTAATTTGAAATGGTGTACCAGGTTGTAGTATGTAAAATATATTTGTTATGGTATGTGTGTCACTGCGCTTGGTTTTGTTTGTTTGAACAAAAGATAGAGGAACAAAAAAAGGAAGTCTGATAGCTCCCCCAAAAACGAAACTATTAAACTACTGTACTATGATCACTTTTTTTCACAATACAATCACATCACTTAAATATTGATCTTCTTTTTATCTAAATAAGGATCTGATTTGTAATCCTAACCTTGAAACATTGCTTCCTTTATATTCAAATGGGAATTACTAAACAAAGTAAAAGGAAGTTTACCTCAATAGTTTTATAGTGAAGAGTAGCAAATTGAAAGGCAATTACATACCCAGAACTTCACAGAAAATGCTGAAGGAACTAAATATTGTGAACAATTTTTCCCCTGAAGTTGTAAAATATATTTATGTTTTCCAGCAGTGTAAAATGTTGATTTTACGGGGATTATACTGTAGTATAACAAACCATTCAACTACTACAACACTTAAATATTAAGCCTCTATTTTCCTATAAGGATTTTTCCTTCACATTGTTATTGTGAAACATATCTTATATTCAAATGGAAATTATTAAACCGCACTTAAAGGATGTTTAAATTTTACGCAAGAGTTAACAATGGCAAATGTCAAGGATATTGCATACAGGGAATTTAAAAAATGGCAAAGGAACAAAACTGTTCAGTTAATTAAGGTACTGTATATATATATTTATATCTTGCAGTGTAAAATTAATATGTTGATTTTACTGGAAATAACATATTCAATGTCATATGTTGATTATCTTAAAAGTTGCATGTGAGTTGTATGGGGCTGTATCCCTTTTGATCCTGGATTCTTTTTGCAGTGGAAACCCTTGATTCCCAGATTCTTTTAGTGTAACAATTTTTTAATGCATTTTTAAGTTTACACCTTTCTGAACAATGTTTTGTATAACTTTCTGTAATTTTTACAAAAGAATGTTTCGAAACAAATGTTCCTTAAATAATGAGCTTTCACTTGATGTATAATTCATAATTTTTGGATTTTTTTCTAGGTGAAAAGCATGTGTAAAAAAAAAAATTACTAACAATAAATAATAATAGAAAAATGCCTATAAATCATCGGCAAAAAATTGTGAAAAAATGAACAATTAGCCATTTAATAATATAAAAAAAATAGAAGCATTCACAATAGACATGGTTACTTGCCCAAAAATGCATAATTATTCATTATTGTACAATCTTTCCATTCCAATCTAGGCCTAGGCCCATACTCAACATCATCATCACCGCCGTCATCACTGCTGATAGGCATGCCAAACTATCGCACTGCAAAATTTGTCTTCATAGCTTTAAAAATCTAAATATAATTTGATTGCTCTCTCACCTGTATAATAAACATCCTGTGCAGCCATTCTGATGAAAATTTGAAATTATTTAAGTTTTCAAATCAAGATTTCAAAAAATTTTTACAAAGCACAATTTCAGTTTTTTGAAAATTTCCGAAACAAACAAGCTTGACACATGTGTACAAAAGTTTCGAAAGGTTTGGAGCCAGAATATACACAGAACAGCAATTTGAAAACAGCCTATTTTTTTGTTAGTAACTTTCAACTGCGGTTGAAGTTGGGTAGCCTCAACTTCAAATCCATTTCTACTGGAGTCGAAGTTGGGATCAAGAGGGTTAATACTACTACAGTGCATAAAGGTCCCACAAAATGACGGCATGAACGTACGCAAACACTCGCATTTGCGGGACAACATGCATGTTTGTGAAAAAGTGTGTATTTTTTACTCTGTTTTCATTGGTCAGGTAAGTTTGATTGACACCCCATAGGTTTCCACTACAGACGAACTGTATGTCCTGGCAACTGCCAGGGGGAGGTGGGGTGGTGACTAGACATTTCGCTCTACGTAGTTACCAGTGTTTATCTGTGCTCTGTGACTGGTGCACAAAGCTAGTCTTTGAAAACAAAATGCTAAATCAAAAAACAAGGAAAATAGGGGCACATAAAACCTGCAGTGTTTTTGGTTGTCGAAGTACTCAACAGAAGATAAGTGTCTGGAAAAACGAAATTAGGCTAGGCTGTTGGATCCCCCCTGCGTAAATTTGAGACATTGATAGCACTGTTTCAAAATAGATCAATAAAATGGTGTATAGTAAAGCTGTACTTACTTTTGAGGGTATTAATTGTACTTTCAGTGAAATTATACTGTAATTTGAGTTTCACTAATACCTAGGATGAATGAGCTTTTAATGTAAGTTCGGTTTCACTTTCTGTTTCACTTTAATACAGTTTCACTGTATATTTACATTTTCACTTGTACAATGTTAATTTCAGTTTCACTACAAGTTCCATTGTAAGTTAATACAGTAATGTAATATAATACAGTAATAAATAGTAATCATAATAATATGGTAATATCTATTAATATCATACTTATATTTTCTTTGTTCTGTACTGTACTCGCCTTCTATTACAAAACACATTTTTTTTAAGGATGAAGATGAATTTGTTTTGCATATGTCTTGGCAACTGTAGGAAGCGCTATAAATTTGTTTTGGTTAGTGGGGTAATTTGTGCATGCATTCTTTATGTGTGTATCCCCTCTTGGCATTGTGTCCAAACCGAATAGACCTTATTTCATTTCCTGCCGTTCTTCCATGCTTCATCTTTGTGTATTGAGACATATTTTTGTATGCCTGCTGTTGATTTAACTATGTAATACCAATTCTCATTGAAAAGACACAAATTCGTCTTCTCAGTCAGAATTTTGTCCTTTGTTTTTGTCATTTTTTTTCTTGTACTGTATCTTGATTTTTTCGTCTTGTCTGTATTCTGGCTGCACTTGCTTTGTTTTGGCTGGCCCATCACAAGATTTTAATTTAAATCTGCCTTCTTCCTATTATCTGTATATTGTATCTGATTAAAGCTACGTTCACATCGAGCCTGGAGTCTGGAGAAAAAGATCGTGAAAAACAGGTTTAGTGGTAAAAAATAGGACCATACAAAGTAAATTCGTACGATTTCCAATCCGGACTTTGGATCTGGAGCGATGGATCTAAGAGCCATTTGCAATTTTTCTTTTTCTTTTTTTCTTGGATCAATCAGCAACAAGCTTGGTTGGTTGGAATTAATCAAACGCATACATACTTAACCCGAACAACCGTGTTCCGTGCGCGATGGGAATGCAGTGTTCAAAAAGCATAACAACTCATGATTTTCTGTCTTGGCTTGATGTGAACATAGCTTAATTCAAAGGAAGAAAATAAAAGTTTCAAATGAATACGAATATTAATATTTTTTTTTTTTTTGTCATTGATGTTTTTTTTTTGTCATTGAATAAAGATGACAATTTCCATCCAATGCAGTGACTACCATCTTTGTTTTGCATTTTCTTCTCGCCGTCTGTAACATTATAAATGCTGTTTTATCATTGCAGAGGGATTGTACGCCATCAAACAAATGTTGAAGACCACAACCCAAAGAAATGTGCAGATTATCCAGATAGTTGGTCAACAATGGATGACTGTAAAAATGCACCAATGTTTGCTGGTGGTGAACTGAAGGTAATGTAGGAATGCATCATTTCATTTCAGTGAGCAGAAATATTTTAAAATTGTTTTGAACAAGTGCCCATGACAGTTATAATAATACTAAATTATACTCTTTTGTTCTTTTGTTTGCATTTTTCTACAGAGTTGGAAATGGGTGATAGCACCATTGATTATTTACTTTTTGGAACAGGTTATCAGATTTTGTCGTAGTGTTCAAACTGTTACGATCACAGAAGTAAGTGAATTGCAATTCTGAAGCTCGGTATTAATATTAGTTCTTGTGCTACAAAATTGCTGGATTCTGATGATTTAGTGTTCAAGGCATTCATATCTTATTATTGAAAAGAGAAAATGTACAGTATTCATTTGACAAATCAAATCCAAATGCTAAAATTCTAATTAGGACATTAGAATTGGTAAATATATCTTGCATTCATATGAGAAGTTATATGATTAAGATATGTTCAGTTGATAATCATGTGACCTGTTGGTAGTTATCAAATTACTAACATACTTTTCATTTCTCCCAATAAGCCAATTCGTAGTTAGAAGTGTGCATGCTCGTATAAAGATCTGTCGACATATAAACACC